GGTGCCAGCTATGACTGACACCCCTCCCCCTTTCTCCCCCCTCCCCAAAGAATGGCACCGAGAGGAGCCCAGCGTCTACCTGGTCATTGTAGGCCCTGAGGTAAGTCCCCATGTCACTATGCTGGTCCCAGCCCACCCTTCAGCTGAAACGAGGGGCCGCCACTTTCATGACCCAGCGCTGCGCTCCCTTCTGTTCAAGTCAACAAACTGTGTGCCATTTCAAGAATGAAAGCCCGCCCAAGTCAGAAGTCCTGGGCTTTATGGCCCGCAGCCCTCAGCTAATTGGATGTGTCAATTCTCTGGTGACACAGCTGGGCGGGGGTGGTGGGGGAGGCGCATGGGAGCAAAGGTCAGTGTGACAGGTGTGAAGGCAGGCCTCCCCGCCCCGACTGCCCCTGGTGCGCCTGGGCTGCCCTTCTCCTGGGAGGGGGACATGGCTGTGCAGAGGAAGTGCTGCCGGGGGGAGAGACATGCCTGCACCGGAGGCCAGCTGTCCAAGGGACTCAGACAGAGACTGTGCAGCCCCCGGGTGCTCAGGACCCTTGTCTGGGCCCAGACGGTCAGGGGGACACAGCACAGCACTCCGAGGCTCCCAGGAAGGCTGCCGACAGGGGTGTCTTCCCAGGGCTGTGTGGCCCGCAGCGGGCCCACAGGGAGGTAGGGACGGTGACTCGTGAGTGTGGGAGTGTCCTAGCCATTCCAGTGTGCTCCTCCTCGCGTCTACGTGCTCACCTTCAGACAGGCACCCACTGTCCACCGTCTGTGCTGTCCGCACACATTACACACACACACACACACACACACACACACACACGTGCTCACCTTCAGACAGGCACCCACTGTCCACCGTCTGTGCTCGCATGCAGGCAGGCGGTCCGCACACATTACACACACGTGCTCACCTTCAGACAGGCACCCACGTGCCCACTGTCTGTGCTCGCATGCAGGCAGGTGGTCTGCACACACACACACACACACACACACACACACGCGCGCGCTCACTTTCAGACAGGCACCCAGTGTCCACCGTCTGTGCTCGCATGCAGGCAGGCAGTCCGCACACATTACACACACACACATGCGCACGCGTGCTCACCTTCAGACAGGTACCCACGTGCCCACTATCTGTGCTCACATGCAGGCAGGTGGTACACACACATTATACACATACACGTGCTCACCTTCAGACAGGGACCCACGTGCAGGCAGGCAGTCTGCACACACTACACACACACACACACACACACACACACACACACACACACACACAC